AGACAGACAGACAGACAGACAGACAGATAGATAGATAGATAGATAGATAGATAGATAGATAGATAGATAGATAGACAGACAGACAGACAGACAGATAGATAGATAGATAGATAGATTGATTGATTGATTGATTGATGATAGACAGACAGACAGACAGATTGATTGAGAGACTGATAAACAGACTAATTGACTGACAGACAGATATTGTTCTCAGTAAATGACTCAGATTCCACACACCTTGAGTGTCATTTTTGAAGTTAACATCATGCATTTATTTCCAGCACTACCAGCAAATCTCCGAGTATTGCACAGTCCCTTCAAATGACTGCCTTGAGCAATCCAACACAAACGTTCTATAAGCAAATACAGTGGATATTACCATATAAACAAGAGTGGATATGTTTCATACCCCTCATACAGTTTGATATAATGAGTGTAAAACCAGGTGCCATTTTACTGAAGTGTGCACGATTAACGCCTACGAATAAAACGTTTTAGATATTAGAAAGTGTTTTCATCTGCACCAGATCTAAGAACAAATTCAACATGAATAAACAAGGAAGGAAGATCTCTGAGTCAGTTTTGTTTAGACAGTAAGTTCTAAACCTGATTATCAACATTTTGAGGGCTCTTGCCTTTAAATGAGCATTTCAATGAGTGTTTTGCATCAGCTGTTTTAGCTAAACACTGAGTAATGTCACTTCTACAGGTGTAACATTTTTTACTGACCCAGTAAAGTGTAATAGCTCTGAAACTAGCGAGTTAAAAGAAACATCAAATCAAAAATAAAACAACAGGTCATGACACAAGGTATGCAAGGAAGGATTATGAACCTACTAGGCCCCACTTTGTTACCTTTTCCCCAGGGATTTAAAAACTAAAATACAAAATGAGATCTTATTTGTTGTAATTGTGGCTTTACATTCCACAATTGCTACTTGAAATTATTTCTCATAATTGAGATTCAATATCAGCCTAGTGAGCTGCTTTAAGACAGAATCCTGACATGAAACCTTAAAAATGACCCATCTTAATTGATTTTCAGAGAATCTATGATTATTCAATGAAGCACACAGGATATACATGATATACATGACATGATTTCAGAGTCTGGCATTAGCATGATGCTATGCTAACAACACTCTAACAGGTATAAAATATACAACAAATATCAGATTATATCACTATTGAAATATTTATATTTGAAAGTCAAAATGAGGTATCTTAAGAAAGAAGCATAATTACGCTGAAACTTGACTCAAAATCGATTTCAATAGAGTTTGAAATTAGCAAGTTACTAAGCTAATGATACAGCACTCTAAAACCTTAGAACACAGAACACACAAACATTGGGTTAAATAATACATTTAAATTAGATTTAAATTAAAGTAGAACTATGACTTGACTCAAATATTTACAGTAGAGTTTGGAATTAACATGCTGCAACTGCTAACAATGCAATGCTCTAATAACCGCATACACACAACAAATATGGGATAAAATAATCCATTTTAATTAGATCTTTAATTAAAACCATTTTATTTGTTTTAGTATTTAGTCATACGTATTATAAGTTAAAATGATTTATCTTAAAGAGTATCATAATTATAATAAAACCTAACCCAATTCATTTCAATAGCAGTTGGAATTAACATTTGCTAGCTAGCAAATCAATACTCTAATAACCATAAATATACATAAACAAATATTGGGTAAAATCACGTTTTTTTAATTAAATAAAAAAAATTTTTTTTATAAAATGTTCACTATTGATTTGCTCATTTATGCTGCCTGTACATTTTAGAGCAGATTTTGCGTCAGTAAGATGCCTATATTGCCTTGAAATACTACCTAAGTTGGCAGCTCACTAGGTTTTAGAAATGAAGATCATGTTTCACAATCCAGTCACAGGTCAAATTAAATTCCACCCCACTTTTTTCTCATTACATATCATGTTTCACTCAGAAATATAATATAAAAGTAAAAAAAGAATTATAGCTTCTCATAATTCTGACTCGCAAATGTACTGTCAAGTGACTGAAAATTCAAGTTGATGCCAATCTGTATCTTAATTACAAGTAGCGTTTGTGTGTCAACAACAATTTTAAATTTCCTTTGTTTTCCCATGTCTCAACTTTAGGCCCCTGGCAGTCTGGAAGCTCCTTGGCCCGGTCCATAATCCATCCCTGAAGGTATGGGAATAAATACACATACAATATTTTGTATATATATGTATATAGACTATATAGTATCTATATATAGCATCTCACTTTGATTTCTGTGGCACCACTGTTGCCTACTATATTATATTCATATTTTGTGGTGACTGAAATTAGATCAGCAATGATTCAACCACTGTTCTCACATGGATCCATCGATCGCAACTCATCAGGCTAGAGCCGCAACTCAAAAATTATACAACACGTTAACATCAAAAACACTACGCAAACACTGTGGTGCTGTAAATCTGCTAATGTGTGACAGTGTTTCTTGCAGCAGGTTCTCTGATCGAAACAGTTACTTGGTCACAAAAACCGAAACCATACAAGCTCGTAAAAGCTCAAGAAGTGGTGACAGATGTGCTATTGTTCAGTAGCATTGAATTTGTCAGTGTGTCGCTATTAGATTGTGGCGTTAGAGGAAGAATCCTTCGATTGCTTGTGCAGACTTAGCATGTGGTGGGGTACTCTTTTGCGTTTGACTCTCATGTGACTCTCGGTTTAGTCCTCAGCACCGCTCTTTCGTGAATCCGGACCTGGGAAGCCCCTCTAGAAGTCTCAGGCTATATGGCCATGGTTAGAGTGGTAAACGGATGTGCATGGCTGAGCTGTTGGGCCTGGCAGCCAGGATGTAGATGGCGCTCTCCCTCAGGAAGTTGTCCCAGGTAATGGGTCTGGAAAATGTAACGGTAAAATAGAGTTAACTCAACTAACCCACAAATTATAAAAGCCAAAAGACACCTGTTATAATTATTTACCTATAGCTACTGTTTGATGCCATGTTGTAATTACCAAAATTTCAAAATGACAAAACGTGACATTCTACTTCGGAACTGACTCAGAATTATGAATTGTATGGCAATACTATCAATGTCACATCCTCGTACCACTCGTAATTACAACTTGTAAGCTGGGAATCTTCTGAGAGCTAAAGCGTCATTAATGCTATGTTGTCATTTCTGTAATATTTAGTGTAGAACTACAATAACATCACAGCGCACATAACGCCTCTGCATTTACTACCGGTTTCTCTCAACATGGCAACACGAGAGCTGTCAGTCAGTACATGGGAAACAAAGTAACTGGAGTTAATTATTTGAAAAAGTAATTCAGATATTTTCTTCTACATTAAAAAGTAATGTGTTACTTTAGTTACTTAAAAAAGTAATTTGATTACGTAACTTGCGTTACTTGAAATGCGTTACCCCCAACACTGGAGGTAACAACACGTGATGTTCTACTTGGAACTGTCCTCAGACTCAGACATAACTGGTTATATTACTTACAAATTATAGTCCGTTACTGATTTCTAATTACAGGACAAAAATTGTAGTTAGTAACATAATCCATTACATTACACATTTTAGGTAATATAATCAGACTACTTTTTGATTACTTTTGACCTAAATAATTTATCACATTGATTTAAATAGGATAATATTGTATCATATTGATGTAAAAATACAAAGAGTAAAAAAATATATTCCATTCTTTGTAATTAACAACATGAAGTGCATTAAACATTACATTATATCATGGTTTCCCAAACTGGGGTTCGTGGGGGAACTGTAGGGGGTTCAGGAGTTTAATAAAAAAACATAATTAAATCAAAAAATGTAAAATTAAAATAAATCATTTTAAAATACTTACTAAAAAAAACTAAATATTTACTTGTATGTCATGTGACCATTAACCATCAGAGAACCGTGAACATGCAAATGTGATACTTCATTATTAAAATATTTATTTATCTATTATTATATTATTATATTTATATCTCAGGAGTACTTCTAGTGAAAGTGGTTCAGACTTCAAAAAAGGTTGGCAATCCCTTCATTACATGTAAATAAGAAATACCATGAATTTGTGCATTTTATGGTGTTTGAAAGACAAAAACGAGGATTTAGCGAGAATCAATAAATTATGAATAATTTATTGCTGTTGTATGAATAATATGTAATCATATAATCAATATAAAGTAACTGTACTCTGATTACGAGTATTTTAAAATGTTACGGTAATTACGACATGCCGTTAATGCAGCTTTCAGAAGATTCCTAGAGTTCTACGAAGATGTGATGTTGATTGTTTTGCCACAGAAACGCATAATTCCGGTCTGAGGATAGTTCTGAGTAGAACGTCACAGTGTCTCGAAAAGTGTCAACACATTTGTAGTTTAAAAGCAAACACACACACCAACCTGTTGTCATTCTCCAAAGCTTTATCTCTGCTTCTCTCGCTGCTGGAACTGGCAGGACTGCTCTCAGATATTGGACCAACATGGCTGATACTGCAGATGAAGAAAGCAAGCTGAAACACACGCTGTTTCATTCAGTCTCTCCCACACAGACACACACACTACCGGACAGCTCACAGCAGGCCGCACTTCTACAGTCTCTGGGTTTTCAAATTCTAATTTGTTGTTCTCATGACACCTCAGAGCCCCGAGAGAGATGATACCCAACCACCGGCAAGACAAAACTAGTTCACTCATGAGCAGAAACATGCATTCAGGACTTGAATTGAAATTCAAAATGCATTCTCAATTCAATTCTGAATGGCCCACAACCCTTGTACGGTATATACAGTTGCCTCACAAACATTGCATGCCATTCTGTACACTGACATGATCTGACAAACTTCATTGACTGAAATAAATTCATTTGAACAAGAACGTCCTGTAATTAAGTTCAATGACATGTGAAGCCAAACTGACCAGAGCCTTGAACGGCAACCCAAACATCTTGTACAGAACTGGGACCGCTCAGAGTCGAGACTGTCTGCTTTGATCTCAAACCCTCAGTTGATTTTAATGAGCGTAAATTAGGATGCAAGCTTAGTCATGCCATAAATGCACCAAACATACACACAAACACCCACAACCCCATGCACCCGCACACTCAGGCGCTCATTTAACCTGCTGTGCTCCTTAAAACTGATTAAAAATATCCTTAAGGGCTTCTCTGAGGGGAATAAAAACCCCTCTTTTTGATCTTGATAATGGGAGGGCAAGATCTCATTTAATACAGCCATAGCAGCTGAGAGAGTGGTCATTACAGTCAAAAACTACCCAATTTAGCTTTGATATTTTTAGCCACTGATTCCTTGGCCTCCATTATGGAATATTTAGCAATTGAGGTGATAATGAGTATAATGAGTATAATGATGATGATGGCAGGGAACGGTGTAAGATGTTTCCAGGGGAGGCCCATGCAGATCGAGTGACTTACCCCATACTGAACAAAGGGGAACACAATCCCATGAGTCTGCAGGGCAAATGGACATTCAGCAGTGGTGAAAAGGATGGGATGATTGGTTAAAAAAAAAAAAGAAAACAATAGCATGGAGGATGATGTCAAAAAAGACTGTCCAAATATTGAATTCACAAATATGTTGATAAGTCAGTCAATCAAAATTCAAGCAAAATATGTTATATAAAATATATATACTGTATACATAACCATTTAAATGTTTGGGGTGAGTAAGATTTTTTTGAAAGAAATTACATTAAAATTATGTAATGTAATAATTTGAAATTAAATTGCATTGAATTTGTTTAAAAAGTGACAGTAAAGATAATATAATTAGCGCTGTTAAATGATTAATCGCATCCAAAATAAAAGTTTGTGTTTACATAATATATGTGTGTCCTGTATATATTTATTATGTACATA